CTCCCGGCGCGCGTGAGGCGGCGCCCGGGACCGGTTCCTCCGCCGCGCTGTGAGGGGGACGGGAACGTCCTGGGGAGACCGGCCCCGTGAAACCACTAGTTAAACATAAATACACCGAGAGGTGGTTTTCGGTAGCGTTTTCCTGGCGCCTCAGGACTCAGAAACATCCCAAGATACCCCCCAGCACCACCTTCCCGCCCTCACCCCTGCTCCTCCCCGCCCTGAGGTGAATAGAGGCACACAAGCACCATCCCAATCCCCCCCTGCCCTGAAGTAAGGCAGGCACCCATGAGACTGCATAGAAGTGCTTTATTACAGTTATTTGAGCACAGTAATGGAAATAAGGCAGTGGGGGTTACATGTGAATAGGGGGGCCGGGGATGGGCTCCCTCCCCCCACAGCAGGTGCATCCCAACAGTAGCCAAAGGTTCCAGTTCTGCTTGCACACAGTGGTGCTCATCGAGTGGAAGCGAAATTTGAGTTACACTGACATTTAACATGTATTTGTTAAGGATGCAGCTTCCCTGCAGCAGAGATGCGATTGTGGAAAGGAAGGGTTGGGCTCGAGAGAGCAGCACCAGGTCTGAAAGACTGAGTCACCCATTAACTTCCAGAAAAAGAAATTTGCCTTTCACTACCAGAACTTTAGAAACCCAGACAACTACTGTGTTGTCCAAATCATTTAATTCAACATTCATTTTATATCAGTTCATTAAATATTAGATATCCTGCATAGAAGCCCACTGGCTTTAAAATCCTATCACTTTCATGAAAGAACACAGTACACCACATTTTCAGTCCCATGTCTGATTTTATGCCATATATTAATACCAAAAGATTCTGAAAGACTCTCCCAAGTAGTAAGTATCTGCCCTACTTGTCACTGACAATGTCTCTAGCAATAAGCTCCTTCATTATTTCATTGGTACCACCATAGATGGGCTGAACACGGGCATCAACGAAAGCTCTGTGGGGAAAAAAAACAATGCAAGGACTGATTAAAAACAGCTCAGAATGGACAGACAAGCAGAAGAAAAACATAAGTTTATATTTGAAGATCCTTTTTTTCAAAGTATGCTATTCCCATTTTAAAGTTCACATTTCAGAGAGGCTTCACTTAGATAAAATCTTCCACCTTTCCATACTGTACCAAACAAAGCATCTGGTCCTTTTCTTTTCCCAGGGTTTTTGTTTACATTGTTAAGTCTGCACTATCACCCCTAATTAAACAAGAATAGATTAAAGCACCTTAGTACCAGGCTCCTACCACTTTCCCCCAATTCTTGCTCCCTCCTTTCCTCACATCACCTGAGCATTAACCCCAAAGCCCCTTCACCCACTCTCACAGCCCTCAACCCAGAACAGTCTGTAGGAACTGACAGACTCAGGTGACCTGTTCTTGTGAAAACAACTCCTGCAGAGCCCGATAGTTATCGTGGTAATTTGCTCTAATGCCCTGGCCTGTCTGATCCTGTCAAGAGGACTGCTAAAGGGGCTGTCAGTTCCTTCCTTGAGGCAGGACTCAAAATACCTTGGGAGAAAAAGAAAATGCCAACTGGTTCCACATTTGCTAGCTACAGCCTTCTACTGCCACCAGCTCCACTTAGGCCAGCAGCCAAATCACTGCACACAGCCAAACCATTTCCATCCTCATGCTGGAACCAGCCACAGTACATGCACAGCTGGTGACAGCACACAGGATGATGACAGCGTGCTTTTTCCATCTTAATTCTTCTTCATTATACAGAGAGCAGCCCAGGAGCAATGCTCTGGAAACATGCATGTTGCTGAAGCACAGGAATAATAAATCCCTGTATGGACAACTACAGCACACAGAGGTAAGCAGGGGTTCGAGGACACCCTGAAGAGGGTTTGCTGTCCTTCCTAGTTAATAAAATAGGGTGCATAACACTCAAAAGTAATACTCAAAAACATGCAGGGAAAAGTCACTTTAAAGCAACATTCCATACTCTTTATTCTGTATTTATAATTATTCAAAACCTCTAAGCCTACCCAGTTAAAGAAATATAAAGTTAACTGCATATGACAACTGCACAGCAGTCCTGATGGTGGAATCAGCAAAACCAGATTACCCCCTTCTGAAAACAAAACAAAAAACTGAACCACCACCATCACCACTGAAATCTCTGCTGGTATTTGCGTGGCAAAAGGCATGTACACAAAAGGAAACCAATCTTCCCAGGTAATAGAAAAGGTAAGATGAAATAACACCATAAATGTCTCTAAACTCATCAAGTAAGCAAAAAAATGGGAATAGCAAACTCTTCCCTATATATAACTGTCTAAGATTTTCATTTATAAAGGTGTAAAAAAGTGAATGCAGCTTCTCATCCTCTTGATTAGGCACCTTGTTATTATGTAGTATTACAAAAGATTAAGGCTGATCAACATGTTTTCCTTCCTTTTACATGTATGAGTTTTATTTCATACAAAGCAAACTAGCTCCTCCTCATTTTTGTTTTCACATTGCTTCTTGGTTTTTTTCCAATTAACTTTTTCTTCTAGAAAAGCAACTTCTCTTTTGTGAAAAATAAGTAATAATTGCTTAACAGCTTCTGAGTAACTTGGAGAATCCAAACAAAGCCTTCCTGCAGACCTCTGCCCAGTGGATCACCTTTCAATAAACACCATGGGAAAATGAACAGTAAATCAGTAGTAACACACAACAACTGACAAGTAGATGTAAAGGAAGTGTCTCATTTTACTTTTGTGGTAATCTCTCTCATCATTTAAGTCTGAAATGTTACACTTACTTTGCAATTGGATACTCCCACATGTACCCCCATCCTCCATGCAGTTGCACACACTGAGTAGCTACGCTGTTTTGGAGATCAGAACACCTTAAATAGTCAAAGAGAAATTTCTTTTTATAAGGATTTTATGCTGTGAAACATTACTAAAGATACAGATAAGCTGGCGAGACAAAAACATGACCAAACTTTTTAGTCTATATAACTTAAATGATGATTAATCTTAAATGATGGCCACTAAAATACTTCCTCTTATAAGGGACCTTTTGTTCATCCTGCACCATTGGCAAGAAATTAATACACTCAGCTGAAGAATATCAAGATGTTTTCTCCTTACAGAAGAGTTTTTGGAGAAGGAAAGCTTTTGAAAAAGACAAAGCTTGTTTACCTTTCTCACAGGCCAGGAGATTTCTCTTTTGTCCTTTCTTATCAAATCCCCCAGCTGTGTCATAAAAACAGCATCATAGGCTTCTACCCCCCAAACTAGAAAAAAGCAGGATGCTCTTTGAATCTAACCATGACCTGGAGATAATTTATTTTCTTCAATAGATTTATAGTTTTCAGTTTTAAGAAACAATAACTCTTAAACAGGTTTTCTCACTGCAAAATATTTCATTATTCCCACATAAAAAATACCTTTAAAAGCATTTCATTTTGTGAGTCTTCCCTCGACAACACGACAGACCACGTCATTTACAGTTGATGTCCTGTATCTCAGCTTTTGGAAAGCTACATAATTGATGATATTTCAAACACTCAATGAGAATCACATGGAAGCACCCACAGGATTTCAGCTGCACTGTAAGCTCAAGATGAAGTTGAAATAGATGAAAGCCACCTTCTAAACACACAACTTCCACAGTGGCAACAGGAGTAAAGAAAATGCCAATTTAAAGTCAACTGACTCTCTTGGAATAATTCAAGAGTCCTTTTATCCAAACCACGCTCCACCCTGGCCAGTTCAACCCTTACAGTTTATTATACCAACTTCAAATCTGCCCCTGTGAGCTACCACAACTGTCTTCTTCAAATGTTTAAAAATTCATTTAGCTACATGGAACAACCTGTCACCAGACAAGTAAGACCTACAGAGCTTGAATAAGATATAGGAAAAAAGAACTAAGTTCTACAGTTCTTCAAAGCTCAACTCAATACACTGACTGAACAAAAGCTTTGAAGCAAAATTAACTGGAGATAGCCTCCTGAAACAGTAGGAAATAAACTCTCAATTCAAGTGTTTTCTGGACCATGAAAAGGAGTTGTACAGTAGGGAGCCACAAGGACTCCATTAGGGAAAAGGGAAATTCTAAATGGAACATGGCACTAGCATCTGGGAGGGTGAGGGAGCTTCAAACACCTCACTTCAGGAAAATCGTTGAGGAAGAAAGTGTGTAACTGAGCTGGCACTGATTGTTTCCTCCTCCTCGAAACTAAATGCCTCTGCTTATGCACCTGGTACTTCTAGGTAATCACTGCCAGCAACAGCACTCCATCAAAATCCTTCCCTTCATGGTAAGCATCCTTTCTAGATTCCCTTAGTATTCCCTGTTCATTTCTTCTATACTTAACTTTTAAAAGCCTAGAATCTGTAAACACGTGCATCTTCCATTCAATTATTTCTTCACATCTGATGTGGGTTTTTTTCCTCACATCTTGGCAAGGAAAATACAACTATGCACATTCATGTGCCATTATCTCAGATCCTTCCACTCATCTAACTTTATTTGATAAAACCTTTAACTTTATCTGGTAAAACCTAAGTTAACAGATAACCTCACCAAGTACAGGGAGAGGGAAGAGGAATTGAGGCCAATAAAGGAAAGCACTTCTTAGCCTCAGTTAAAACAATAACTGCAGCCAACTATTTCTTCACCAAACCAGGTCACTTCTGAAACTGGCTGGGCCAAACAGCTATTGCTAAGTAACATGAACTAAAAGAGCATCATAGGAGCTTCAAATAAACCTGTGCTTTTTAAAAAAGACACACACAAAAGAAATACCAGCCCATTAAAAAAACCCAACAAAACAACCAAAATAAAAACAACACCCAACAACAATTTGCTACAGTGAAATGTAAATATTTGTCTAATATCAATGAAGTACTTGTATTTACTTGAAGCTAAAGCTCAGTCCTGATCTTGTTATTAATGGAAGCCTATTTTAAAAGCATGGTGTTATTCTGGAATTGACCTGCTTAACCCACAGCAGTTTTGAACGTAACTAAGATTTTTGTTGACTACATGATTGAATTTCAAGCTACTGGTCTCTGTTAGAAGCTGACAATTTTGTTGTTATTAATCAGTCATTTTATCTTTCCATTAGATCAGAACAGTACAGTGTTTTTATTATGAGACTCCTGTCAAGACCATGCAAGCAGCATTTCCCAGTTCCCTGAAGCACATACCAGTACTTGGCCATGGAAGCCGTGGCCGAGTCCAGGCGTTTCTCTGCATGCAGCTGCAAACAGTTGTCCATGAAAGCTCGGCCCACACAAATCTGTGTTTTCATTTCTGCCAGCTTGTGCTGTACTGTCTTAATTTGGCAGCCGAGAGAGGAGGCAGAGGGAAGAAAGAACACAAGTAATAGTTTTCACATTATATTTGAAGTAGAAAATGGAGAATTTTCTAAAAGGATTTTTGTTAGAAATCACCATTTCAGACAACATTGGCTCTGTACCTCAGAGGACAACTTACTTTTGACACAACTACAGCCTTACCCTCCTCATTACAGCAAAGTACTGCCCTTTTCAAGCCAAGTCAAAACATGACCTTAAGAGAAAAAAACCCAACAGCCTGAAAATATGAAATCCTAGAGAGTGCAGAGTAGGAGGCTCTGGGCATTCTGTCACTCGCAGCTCCCTCTTGTGGGGCAATGTCTCTTTGCTCTGTACAGCCACTTATTTCCCCAGTTATAAGAAAGTTTAACATCTACTGGATGGATTTTTTAAAGTATTCAGTTCTTCAGAGCTTAAGTGATCCTAGAGAATCATCTTGGTTGGAAAAGACCTTCAAGATCATCAAGCCCAACCATAACCTTAAATATAAAAAGAGACAAGCAAAAACAATTGAAATTTTAGACTACTATCAAGTTTTCCAACACTGAGGTCTGTCACACTGGAGAAGTTTCTAGATAGAAAATGGTAAAATCCATTACTAGGGTTATATAAAAATCAGACCAGACAAACATACTGCTGTTTTCTTGTAATTCTGGTAGGGAGGGGATAAAAACACCACCCAGGAAAAAAAAGTCTTATGTCAAAACAAAAATTGTGTAACCAGGACTATTCTATGACTCTCTTGACAATAAATATAATTGGCCAGTGTGCTATGATTACAAAGATTTTATTTCAAATACTGTTCTGTGGCAAGACTAAGTGAATTAGGAAAGGCAGAGCTCTTATTTGCACATTCTAGTTATCATCAACAAAAAAGAAACTGAAGAGATAGAAAGAATAGATTAATTTTTTGCAAAAATAATGGACTTAATGAAGTTTACTGGCCACCTGGTGGCTGGCAGTGGGTTAGCTAGAAAATACTACACTGGTTTTCTGCAGTGACCTACTACAACAATTGGGAAGTACCTGAAAAGGGTAAATTCCATGTTGAATTATGGATTTCTGAATGTTAACTTGACAAACAGATAAAGACTGTAATTTTTGTAAAGATACCCACAGACACCTAGCCTCTCAAGGGCCCAATTCTGCTGCTATTCACAACAACTAAAGACTCGATTTTAACAAAGGGAGCCTCAAGACTTCAAAACTTATCTATTTTTTAAGTACTTCAAAAGTATATAAGAGAAGGAAAGGCAGCATCTTCTAACCCATATGAGTCACTTCTATTCTGCAAAAGCAAACATGCAGGAGCTTGGCTTGGCTCAGCCCTAACAGCTAATGTGGTTTTCAGGAAAACTGCAATGTCGCAATCCTGCAGGAAGCAACATCTGTTTCATGACTGCAACTAGAGAGTGTAGGCATCAAGGTCTCAAAATACAGTTGACTACCACTGTCAGGGAGTGAGGTTCTCCCAGAGAGTGACCTGACAGTTCTATATGCAGTCACCTAAACACCCAGCTACCTGAGGAATGTCATTACAATGCCCATAAAGCTGAACACAGACACCTCTGCAGACACACATGCAGTCAGGTCACTGCCTGGGAGCCTCCATCAGCATCACAGGTCATTTTCCTGCAGGAGCACAGTATCTGCATGTGCACCCAGCTCATCTGTAGGATTCCAGGCAGGTACAGAAATACATGCAGGTGTAACAGACCTTATGATTAGGACCTCTGGCAGTAAAATGCAAGTTTAAGGGCAACAAAATAATTTTCCTTCATAAGCAGCATAAAGCCAGTACAGTTTCTGCCTGTACATTTCAACTTCGAAAGCAGCATTGTGGGAGTTATCTAACTGAACAGTAAAACACATACATTAAAGCTTTCATAGTGTTGATTTTTTCAACTGTTTTTGTATTTCAAAAATAGCCAATGCCAAAAATTTCAAAAATAGCCACAGCCAAACAGTGAAACCTGTGCAAGTCCTTTGAAAACAACCCAGAGATTCTCACTTGCTCACATTTCAGACACACAGATGTAAAACAAACACCTTGCCATCTGTACACAATTCTCTCAGTTCAAGCTCACCTGCAAGTGTGCAACTGTCTTCCCAAATGCTTTTCTTTGCTTCACATAATTCCTTGTTTCTTCAAACATGAATTCACAACCAGCAAGAGCCATATCAGCAATCAGCAGTCTTTCCTTTTGAAACACAAAGTACAAAATGCAGTTGAATTAGTCCTACCTTTCTCCATATTAGATGCACAACTGGGACAGAAATGTGCTGTGTTGCTCATCAAAGGAGGGGGCAGAAGTCACATTAAGTACCAAAGCAGACACACTGCATTACTGAAATTACTGAGTGGGACAAATGCCTTGTTGCCTGAAGCCCCATTTTTAGTCATTTTCAGGGTTAATGCCCTATCACAACAGTGACTCAAACAGTAGCTACACATTAACCACAGGATTCTTATTGACTGAAAAATTCACACTGAATTGTTTCAGTTATTGGTTTTCACTGCTCAGTTTTAACAACTGCCTTTAACAATTTATACAGGACACCTGTAGAAAAAAACCAAAACCTAAGAAACCTGTTTTTTTTCTTCTTTATAAAATGGTGAAAAACAGAAACAAAGTACAGAACAATTACTTCCAACTCCACTGAAGTAATCTGATGTATCACACTGAACCTGCTCATGAGAGCATCTGTTTCTTCAAAGTAGTAAAATAACTCCTTTCATCAGGTTTTGTATCTACTCACAGTATAAAATTAAATACACATAATCCCTACCAGGTGAGGTAAACAAAGTCACCTTTTTGACAAAGAACAACTACATTGTGAAAAACCACATTGTCTCTTCGTCCACCCCAATAATTCCAAAACTTTGTAAACTCTTATTTCCACTAGGAAGGTATTTTGACAATTAAAAAAAACTCTTTACTTTGCTACAGAGACAGAGTTCCTTACATATTTAATATGCTTCTACTAGTAGGAGAACAGCAGTGCTTGCTTGCTTCCTTCAAGAGAATCACAAATGCATTAGAGACCACCAAGCTATATTTAACTTTTTAAGCAAAGTGATCCCATGCTAGAAGCATACAAGAAAACTGTGCTATTTTATTTTAAATACATGTCCTGGTTTGAGCCAGGATGAAGCCAATTTTCCTTTTACTGACTTTTTTTTCCTTCAGTAAGCTTTCTTTTAACTAGCAACTGTGTGTTCTGCTAGGTTGATAAGACAGTGGAATGTTTTTCTAACTACTGAGGCTTCAAGGTCGCACCTTCACTCTGCTGGCTCAGACACTGTGGGGACATCTGTGACCCTCCCCCCATAGGAGGCTGAGTTAGACAGCAAAATTAGCCAAAGATATTCCATTCCATATATCTACGTAAGCTCAGAGGAAGGTCAGAGATCACAGAAGACAACTTCCTTCCTTCTTCTTCCCTTTTCTTCCGTCCATGGCCGGTGTCCAGGAGGACTCTGTTCATCCATCACCATCGACCCTTAGGCTCGAGCTCGACCCTGACCCTCACCACTCTGTGCTTTCTCCAGCAGCAGCTCCGGGATTCCTCGGGACTCTTCCCAGTTCAGGGAAGTGCTGTGGGAGTTGCTGGGGGTGGAGGGAGGCAAGAGGCTTTTGCTCATACTTGAATATATCTGTATATAATTGCATATATTTTCTTGTATCATTCATTAGTGTTTAATTAAAGCTGTGTAGTTTAGTTTTCAATCCAGCCAAGTCTCTCTCTTTTGCTCTCTCTCCTTCCCTACCTGGGTGGGGGGGGGAGGGGATTGAGAGCATTGTTGTCAGAACTGAGTCAAACGGTGACAACAAAGTGGCTTAATCTTGGCTCAAACCGGGACAATACACTAACCAAAGCTCACGTTCTTCAACATTTGGGTTGCTGATTAAGATACCTACCTTTGAGCTGGTGTGGTATCAACATTTTTGCCAATGCACAAAATCACTGCACTTCTACCACTAGGAACCACGTGCTTCAGATAAAAAACAGAAGCATTAACAAAACTTGGGCTGCAGGCACTCCAATCCTCAGCCTGAGACAGCTCCCCATGATACATCATTAAGACTAAGGCAGTTTCTTGCCATGACAATTGCCTGTATATACAAACAGCAAACACCCATATTCCTCTTACCTGAGGGAGCTCTGCCATCAGGTAATAGAAGCCTTTGTTCTCTTTTCCAAGCAAGGCACTGGCAGGCAAGCGCACATCTTCGAAAAACAGCTCTGCTGTGTCCTTAGAGGATGGTAAAGCAATAGTTCACAGCCTGACCTTCTCATCTCTTCATTACACTTCTATTGCCCCATTCTTTCTCTTGCTACTTGTATACCTTAACTCAAAATTATAGCATAATTTAAGTTGGAAAAGTCCTCCAGTGGTCATCTTGTTTTCTCCTACTCAAAGCAGCTCCAGCAAAGCAAGCAGCTGAGGGCTTTGTCCAGTTATGGCTTCCAAAGCTCCGAAGAGGTAGGCTCCATGACCTCTCTGAGCTCCTGTTCCAGTATTTGATCACTTTTAAGGTGATTTTTTCTGAATACCTACTTAAAATTTTCCTTAATGTAATTTGTGTCCCTTTCACTGTGCTCCTGTAAGAGAAATCTGGCTCCACCATCTCTACAGGCAACTGTCAGGTAGCTAAAGACACAAGTAAAATCCTGTCCTTCCTGGCATCTTCTGAGCGAAAAAATTCAGGTTCCTCAGCCTCTCCTTACACATCACATCCTTCTGACCTCCACAGGCAAACTCAGCAGACATAATTTGCATGTTTATTGCTTGTGCTCTAAAACCTATGAACCTGAACACCAACACAGTTCTACTTCATATTTATTTAGCTAGCGCCACACAACCAGTGGTTTTAGACTTCTTCTCAGGCTCTTACACTTCATGGGTTGTATGAACTCACTTGAGCTTTCAGGCCAATTTTGTTCAGCTTGCGTCCTTTGATGAAACCCTTTGTTCCATTTTCCACCAGAAAAAGGCTGATCCCATGAGCAGGAGATCGGGCCTCCTTGTTAGTAACTGCAACTACGATCACTACGTCGCTCATCCAGCCATTAGTGATGAATACCTGTAGAAAAATGCAACTTGGAATTAAGCAGCAAGCTGGGTGGATGGCAGCTAAGAGATCATCAAGCAGCAGAAAGAAAAATTCCATACGCATTTTAACAGGTGAATTGAAAGCCAAGGTTTAAATGTCCAGAAAAATTTTAAGCTTTCTGAATTAAATGCTTTGGACCAAGGTAAATAAAATGAGGAATTAGTTTGACAGGTCTTGTGTAGGTCAGAAGCAGGAGGTTAAAGAGGTCACAGATCTGTCTCTTTTGTCAGTTCCCTGACAAAGAAGGAATGTGGTACTGAATGGACACACAGGTTCTCTTTTCTATAAATTAATCATGTGTAACATGTGAAGCTACTGATGGCTTCTTGTCACAATTGCTTACTATAATCCTGCAGAATGCCTCATGAACCTGCTAAAGTGATCTGTCTTAACTTCAGCAAAAGAAATGAGCTATCTCTCCTGCTTGGCTTCAGCTCTGCAGCATGAGTACCCTCATCAACACCTCTATGTACATATTCCCTTGCACACACTCTCACCACTTGAAATTCTGCTAAGGCCAGAAGTCTGTCAGCACCATACTATTAGCAGGAGTACAAATGAAGGAGAGAAAGAAGACATTGCATAGTTTTAAAAACATAACCCACAAAAAAACCCAAAACTGAAAGACTAGGGGGAGACACTAACAATGGTGCACACCCTTCCCTGTCTAATTGCATTCAGCTCCCAAAGACTATGAACAGTATCTGTGTCTGTTCACTTACCTTACTCCCATTAAGAATCCAGTCACTTCCATCCTTTTTTGCATGTGTTCGTACCCCCTGCAAGTCACTGAAAAGAAAATCAAAAGGTCCCTCAAGAACTATTCCAGCAGCTTCAATTTGTGTCTTGAGTTCTACCTGGTATAAAATAAGGTAGATTTTATACCAGCCAGGCACAGACTCAGTGAAAATGCACACAGGGATAATGAAACATGGTGAAAAGGCTGAGAGCATAAGAGAAACCACAGACATGCTACAGCCAGGGATGATAAATCTATGCAACTGCACAAGAGCATGAGATTCTGTTTTAACCATCTGCTTGTGGAGGGTGGTGTAATACAAGCACTGACACCAGCAAGTCTGCATCCCTTACATCAACATGCCTTAGACAACCAGAAGACAAATCCAAATCCTCTAAGCAGGCCCAGCTCTGAAGAGGAGGCTCTGTAAAAAGCCACCAGGTTTGGCTCTTCACCTGTCCCCGTTTTGCAAACCAGCCAGATGAGCTGTGCCTGCTCCAAATATGTGCTGTCTGCCTTTCAAAAAGGATGGCCAAGGAGGGACACTTCTCTGCTTGAAAGGATTCAGAGGAAAGGAAATAAGGTGTTCTATTCCACAACAAAAGCTAATAATACCAAGCTATGTAATTTTCTCCTGACTACATTTCATATTAAAAATATGTTCATGTAACAACCAAGTTAGTAACTATAAACCCAGATCACAGCAGAAAACACAAAACCCATTTGCCCACCATGGCATGATCCTGAAATTGATTCTGAGCACATAACTTGAAATAACAAAGCTGTAATATAGTATCTGTAAGTAACAGTTGTTTTTTAAGGTACTGCCTAACCTAGGATTCTATCTAGCCATTAAGATGACCATATAACCCAGAGGCTTAGGGTTTTTTTTCCCTATGTGCTACCTGTTGATTTAAACCCACTGTTTTAGTACTTACCTGCCAGCTCCAGGTTCTGTCATGGCTATAGCTCCAATGCACTTGCCTGCAACCATGTCAGGGATAAAGCGTTTAATCTGTTCTTCAGAGCCATAGTTTGCAATGTAGGGCATGACTATGTCTGAATGAAGGCTGAATCCTGGGCCAGTACAGTTAACATACATTCTTGTGGAGAGGGGGGGGGGAGGGAAAAAAAAAAAAAAAAAAAGAGTTCAAACAGAAGGACAAAGATTTAAACACTTAACTTTATACTACAACAGACCCAACCCCACCACATAGAAATCTCAAGACACAATCTGACCTTCTGGCACTTGTACTGTTATTTAAATAATGGATTTTAACAGCTAAAAGTGTGTATAAGCTTCCAGAATAAGTAAATGCTTCCCCCAGTCACAAAGTCCTACCAGTGGAGGATGACAAACAGGTTACTTGAACAATCACCTGAGATACTTAAAACAAGAGGCATTTACATATGTATAAACTTTCCTTCCCATGAGAAGGATAACACTGTTCTCTGTAAACAAGCATGTTCTGTGATGAGGACACCTTGTGGAAAAAAATACACAGTCTCTTGATAATATCATTGAAATTCTTCCAGAAATGCCTAGTACTTACTGCTCCTCCCAGACCACAGCTGAAGAGAGAATATCTGCTCCGATGCCTCCATGTTTTTCAGCAATAGCAACACCCAGCAAACCCTGTTGTCCAGCCTTCTGCCAGAGCTCCCTGCTCACCTGGCCATCCTTCTCCCATCTGCAAAATGAACACAAGAACATTAGGCATTAAATCTCCCACATGCTCCTGTTTATTTGTCATGGGTGCTGCTTCACACTAGAACACTCACAGCCAGTTTCACTACATAGGAAGAGACCTTCAGTCTGACCAACAAACAGCACAAGGCAGACAACTACATTTCGCAGCTAAGAAGCAGTGGCTTAATAATGGGTTTTCTACTCTTCAAGTCCACTGGTGCCTTTGGCATTACAGGTGCACCAACTGCACAAGTTTGTACTCCTGTTTCCACATATAACCCGACACATCTGTAAGACTCATTACAAAAGGCACTGCTGCCTACAGGCCTGAGTACCAGACTAGTATTCAGGAGATTCAGCCAAACCCATCTATGTAATTAAAAGCAGGTCTTTATCTTTCTGACATTTCATTTTCCCCATGTACAAAATGAGTATAACACATCATTATCTTTCAAGAAAGATTTCAGCTCTGCCAATGAGAACCGCTTCGTAAGAGCAGAGAATTAACACATTAGTCACTTTCCTGAAAAATTTGGTCTCTGGGCACTTACTACACATCAGTACTGTATCTTGGTACACTACTGCTTCAAGAAGACTTGATGTTTGTAAATAGCTAGTCAAAGCGTATCTGCTGACAGTTTGCAAAACTTTAACACCACAGGAATCACTCTTGGAAAAGCAGTGACTCTTTAAAGAGCTTACAATTTCAACAGAAAGCTGGATGGCCCTCAATGGCCCAGCCTTATTTTTAGTCTTTTCTTTCTTTTAACCCCAATTTAAAAATTCTATGGCAGACCAACTCTATCAGAGCCACTCCTCTGACACACCTATGTGCAACACAGCCAGACCTTAGCATCTCACCCACAGTGAACAGAGTTAACTTATCCTACTTTACTTTTTCTCCTACAAATTCCTGCCTCTGCTCACCTAAGCTGCTTCTCCTCCTCACACTAATGCACAACTGCATTGAGTGATGCCACATTTGTCTGTTCACATCAGTCCAGCCAATTAACAGACTATGCCTGAAGCCTCCTTGTTTATTTGAAAGGGGCAAGAACAGAATAGTTCATAGCTCGCTGAAGTGATGCAAGAACACAAGTCCAACTTGTTCCAGCCTCTTGAGAAAATAATTGTGTCAGCAAGCTGGCAAACAGGATTGTCAGTACCTGTTCACAAACCTGCATTGGAAGATATTCTAATAAAGGTCGAGGGAAAACATCTGGGTTTGTGGGCAGAATAGGCTCACACAGTGGAAAAGCACAGTACTTTGAAGTTGTGGTTTGAGGATGAAAAAAAATAGTCAGCAACTATTCTGATGCAAGCTGTTTCCATTACCTCCTGCTGTTCATTACTGCCGGGAAGCCACATCACCCCACCCACTCCATTGTGCCATCTCAACTGTTTGTGAATATACAATTTGAGCTGCATCAGGCAACTCATCTAGCAGCATGATTTAAGAATAAGCCCTTCACTACCTCCTGCTGTTTTCGCAGGTATGCAGTAAAGATTGCCTAAGACACTACTGCATCTTAATGCTTTCTGTTACAACAAAAAATGTTCCAAGTTGATTTATTTTACTTTCCCAACTATAATGTCACTGGATACAGCTAAATAAGGGCAAAAAACACCCTTCAGCTCTAATTGAATGGAAGTACAATACTTCTACTCTGTGCAGAAGACAACACATTTCCACAGGGGCAAAACAGATAATTTAAACATGGATATTTTGTGCAAGTTTTTTTGGCAATGCATAACTCATCTTACTATACTACAGGTACCATATTTACACAATCTACTGCAACCTAAGCTAGATGCCATGCCAATGCTTTTTTGGATGACAGGAGTACAACAGTGTGTGAACTGAATTATCTCCATAATTCTAAGCCCAAGACACCAGTGTCAGACTTAATGACTATAAGCAGGAACACTTACACTGCAACCCTGCAAACAGCATTTGTCTGCTCATAGGCCTAGGAGGACAATGCCAGATTGCCTACACTGAAGCTCAAAGAATGCAGTGAAGTGTGAATACATGTGTTTTGGGTTTTTTTACATATAATTTCCACAGGCAGGTGTGTTTTAATTGAGCAAATTTGAAATGGAAAGCTTGCAAGTGAAAACAAATACCCTGTTTATCCTGTCACCTTAAAAATAACAGCCTAAAAAACACTTGGGGAGAAAAAAGGCATATTATTTGACAAATCAAAATGTTTAAGGGGCATCTTACTCTGCATGAAAAGGCAGCACTTCTTCCTGAAAGAACTTCCTGGCACTCTCCCTGAAGATATCATGATCTGATGAGAAGATCCTCCGAGTACCTATATCAAGCAAGGTTTTAGCAGAAGACGGCTCTGGGCGCTTCGTGCCATGCTGTTCAGTTTGCAGAGGACTGGAAAAGACAAGTGAAAGCATCTGTCAGGACACAGGCACCCCCATTTACATAACCCCTTTCAAAGAAACCCCTGTGCCGTCAACCAAGTCTAGCACACTTAGGTCCAAAGGATTCCCACTGTAAATATAAAAACCTTACACACACTGCACTTTGCTGGGCTGTGAAGGCAGACAAAGCAGGAGTGGTTCGTCCTTAATGCTTCATACAAATTAAAAACAGTAATAATATGTACACAGATAAGAGGATAATGTTTCGTTTCTGTTCATTAGAGATGATAAAAATCATTAGTGCCTTCTCCCCCTACCCCACAGCCTCCAGAACACAAATCAGGTCAACTTAAACTGAGGTGCTAACTTTCTGAGTAACCGTGACCTGCTCTGGCAGAGGGGCTGGACTCAATGATCTCCAGAGGTCTCTTCCAACTCCTATCATTTTGTGACTCTGTGGGGTTTGTTCATTCTCAACATGTCACCTAAAGTCTCAGAACTGCAAATCTGTGACATTGAAAATTCACATATGCAAGAGTACAGCATGGAAATGCACCCTCTGAGGGTTGCATTATTCTCTGCAATATCACTTATATCTGCACAGTTCTAACCTTGAAAAGTATGCTTCCCAGTTCCTTCTAACTTAAGTAATTTTCCTGAACAGGAAGGCTAATCCTCCCCAAAAGTCTAATTACAAAAACATATTGAAAAATAAAATCCTTTTCTAACAAATAATAAAAACTGAAACAGTGGTAACTGTCAGTAGTTGGAACCACACAAGGTAAGTACAATTACAAAATAACAAGGAAAGGCTGAAAGCTTTTGTAGAGGTTTGGAATATCAAGGATGATGCTACTTTAGGGCTGAAATGAAAATTCACATCATATTTGGCTACTTGACTTGTTTTTATTTTATTGCTGCAAAAAATCAGAAGTTATAAACACAGGACTGAGCTATAATAAACAGAAAACACATTTGCTGTTCCTTGAACTATTTTGTTCACTTCTCCAGAGTTTCTCAGCACAGTAACTGTGTGTAGATGCAGAAAGCTTAGCTGAGCATACACTTACTTACCCCATGACAGAATATAAGGCCTTTATTTCCTGCCACACGAAGTTACTCACACTCTACCTTGTGCTAAAGGATTACACAAGCTCTATTTGCTTCTAGGGATATGTGGAAGAAACAGGCCACTGCAACCTTCTCATTCAGTGCCGTGTACACTCAAACACAGGCTTCCCATGACAGCCGCACCGTGACCCCCCCCAAAAGCTTCACCTTATTTTTAAAGACATTTAAGAGGATACTGAGCTTTACTTCAGATCACCCTGTGTTGAACTGCAGCTCACAGCCCCCCTCAACGCACAGGAAAGGGCCGGGCTGCTCCCTCACACCCCTCACAGCCCAGGGAGACAAAACTGCCGAGTCAGAGGAGGGTTGAGCTGGCTCCTGCTCCCCCAAACCCCGCTTCCCTGAGCCCAGCACCCTGCTGCCGCGGTGTCCCCGGGCAGGAGCGCGGCCCGCCCGTCCCGTCCCGTCCCTGCTGACACCAAGGCACGCGGTGACCCCGGGCGGGCGCGGCATCTGGAGCAAAGATCACCCCGTC